CCAAAATCATTCCCACTCTCATCACCAAAAAGTACACATGAAAGAAAACCACCTTTTAAAATATATTTGAAGTATTATTACCAAAAGCCTTGAGTTGGGGGTGAAAGGCAAGAAAAGAAGCCTATGGGGCAGCTAGGTGGAGCAGTGGATAAAGCTCCAGCCCTGGAGTCAGGAGGACCTACGTTCAAATCCAGCTTCAGACACTTGACACTTACTAGCTGTGTGACCCTGGGCAAGTCACTTAAACCCAACTGCCTCACCAAAAAAAAAAGCAAAAAAGAGAAAAGAGGCCTACAACTATTGGCCAAAACCTATCCAGCTACATCAAGATCCAAAAGCATCCTAAGGATGCTACTTCTACCCATTTTCTTCTCTTCTTCCTTTCTTCCACTTTTCCCTAGCTAGGACACAATGGCAATGATAAGAGTTTACATTTACACAGAACTTTCTAGCTCCATGGCACTCTTGCATACATGACCTCACAAGAACCCTTTGTGGTAGCTAATTCAAGTACTATTACATCAAGAATTATTATTCAAGTATTATTATTTTTATTCCCCCTTTTTAACAGATGAGGCAACTGAGGGTCAGATAGGTTACATGCTTGTCCAAGGCCACAGAACTAGTATGGTTCAGGTCCAAGATTTGAATCTAGAACTTCTAACTGCAAGGCCAGGGCTTGTTATAACATAGTCCACTGCTTCTTACTGCTATGATTGAAAATGATCCAAGCAAAGGCCAGAATGAGGCCTCTTAACTCCCCTCCCTTTATGCAGAATGGCTTCCTATCCTCTTTCATTCCAGTTTCTCCATTCAGACTTCATTTCCATCATATGTAGGACAGTCATAAATAAAATTTAACTCTATGTCTCCAAGCTTATTATGTACCATGGGTTAGCCTCTTCCTCTCCTAGGTCCCTAAACATATCATAGGACATCACGGAGGAAGGATGGTGGTGATTAAGATTGACTCTAAGGTGGGGGATTTTGCTGTTTTTAGCAAAATAATCACATGACCTGACCTACTCCCCTCCCTGAGTTCTTATGACTGGAGGTGGGGATCAATTGCCATGAAAAATAAATGGAAATCTTGAGGGGTGGGAGAATTCTCAGTGTAAGCACCAGCTACTTGTTCAAAGAAAAACAGGAGGCCCCACAATGCCCTATTCAAAGAAAATATGGTACATTACCACTGAAACAAAGCCATAGTAAGATGCTGATGCTGACTGAAGTCTCAAAACACATCAGGCAGATCTCTCAGGGTATAGGTATCTCTGGACTCCTGTTCTAGATAGTGACATTCTCCCACTTAAGGCAGTTACCTACTTCACCAAGTCTAGTGGCCGGATGGATGGGAAGGCAGATAACATTACCACCTAGATGGTCTATGATCACCTCAAATTCAACATGTCTATAACAGCCCTCATTATCTTCCTCTATCCTTCTCCCCAAAATCAGCTTCCTTTCTAGACTCCTCTTTCTCTTGACGATGCCATCAAGAATGCCTGGATCCCCTTCTGTCATTCTGACTCCTCTTTTCTTACCCATCTATAATGGGGGAAAAAGCATTGAACAAAAAAATTTGACTCTGTGCCTTGCCAAGTGCTAAGGATAGAAATATATAAGCAAAAAACTGTCCCTGCCGTCAAGGAACTTAGGTTCTTATAGGGGAAGTCAAGGTAGGGGAACTAGTAAGTGTCTGAGGCCAGATTTTAATTCAGGTACTTTATCCACTGTACTACCTAGCTTGCCAAGCAAGGGCATCTCAAACGGGACTTTTAGAGATGATTGGAATGTGGTCTTTGGGGGAAGGAGGGAAGGAAGTAAGAATGTCACCTAGTCCTATCACTCCTGTCTCCCTGATTCCAGTTTCTTCCCCCTCCAATTTATTTAGCACATTGCTAACAGATTACTTTTCTTAAAATACTGCAACTGAACATGGCAGCTCACGCCTATAATCTCTTTTACTGGGGAGTCTAAGGATAGGGGATCTCTTGAGCTCAGGAGTTTTGAGCTGCAGTGGGCTAAGCCTACGTACTGGGTCTCTATACTAATTCAGACATCAATCTAGCAAGTAACCCAGGAGTAGGGGACCACCAGATTGCCCAAGGACAGTCGAAAGGGCCACATGTCAGAAATGAACAGGTCAAAATATCCATGGTAACAAGCAGTGGGATCTGCCCCTGAATAGGCACTACACTTCCAACCTGGGTGATATAGGGAAAATGAGTCTTTAAAAAACAACAACACAATACCACGTTACCGCCCAGGCTTAAAATTTTTCAATAGTTCTTCACTGCCTATGAGATAAAATCCAAACTCCTTACTCATTCAAAGCCCTTCTAATTTTATCTCTTACCGCTTACCTACTCAAACCCTCTACTCCTGGTCAGACAGGTCTGCTTACTCTCCCCTCAACACACTAGGCACGCTTGCCTCTAGTCCTCAGCGTGTTCCTCTTCAATCTCTCCCAACCCCAACTAATGCTGTCCAAGTCCACTTCTGCTGATCTGAATCCTACCTGTGCTTCAAGGATAGCTCATCTGACCTCATCTTTGAATTCTTTCCAATTCTCACTCCTTTATCTTCAGTTTCTATATTTTTTATTGTGTATTCCATTCATCTGGCACTTATTTACAATCTCATCAAATTAGTTATCTTATACTGTGTTAGTCTTACGGTTTCCCCAAATCCCCAACTAAATTGTAGGATCCTTGAGAACAAGGATCAGATCTAATACTTCTTTGCAGCAGGAACTGTCTTCTTTACATCTCCAGAACCCAGTAGAGAGACTTAAAGGCACTTCATAAAGGCTTAATGAATTAAATTAAAGGCTCTCCTCCAACTCTATTATCATCACCACCCAGGATGAACACAATACCTTGCCCCCCCTAGCTGAGGAAGAAAAAAAAAATTATTGACTGACTGAAAAGATCCTGGATCCAAAAAGTACCTGCCATCTTTAACGATGGCTGGACTACACTTGGAATTCACCACCGGATAACTATTGGCCTTGTGGGAGGTGGTAGGGAGCCCTGTTTACAAAAGAATTGTTCCAATTTGCACATCCTAACATTCCAGTCTTTGCCTTACCATATTTTTATTTTGGTTTCTATTTTGATTCTTCTGACAGGACAGTGGACTAGGAACCTAGAACATTCTACATTCACAATCCTACAGAGTTCTGCCAGTAGACAGTGTAGCGTGGTTGTCACCCCAAAGTTTATTAAGCATCTCCTCTACTCTCATCAACATGCTAGGCACTGTGGTGCATATAAGAGAAGACATGGTCTCTGCCTTGGAGAAAGGACCTCAAGGTCTAATTATTTCTTGTTCTCCAGCAAAAATTGTCATCTTATAGAAAAATCAGGGCAGAACCTTCCTGTTTGCAATGTAACAACTACAATCTACAATTTCATGCAAACCCTGTATTTTATCTTAGAGAAAACCAACCACAAGCAGAATTCAGCACCAATAGCTAAATTCTCCCACATATAGGTCACTGCAGTACACCTGGTCACACAGCCGCCCTGGAGCTCAGAAGGGTGAAATGTGGCTCCCATCCACCTGCCCTGCCTTCTCCATATGCTGCTATTCCCCAGCTGAGGAGAAAGATATCCAGTAGTGTCATTACTTCATGCTACTCCCAGTATCACCACCAAAACGTCCTAGCTCTTTGCCCTTTCCTACACAGGGCCCTATCCATAAAGTAGTTTGTGGCTGGGAGGTTCTAAGCAAAGGATCCTGATGACTTTCCAAGAACTCTATAAACAGGGGAGAAGGATGAGGGCACGTGGGGAATGAATGGATGGATGGATGGATGCATAAAGGTTACTCTAGGGTCTGCAGAATCACATAAGGATGCTCCTTAAAGGAGGCAAGATTTGAAGCTTCCTTCTTCCTCTCAGTAGCGCCCTTAGTCTTTGACGATGACTGAGGGCAAAACCCAGCTGTGGAGTTTTCCTTCCCACTGCAGTGGGGCTCCAGGGCTTAACGGGTTCGAGCCCGCTGGCACAAGCGCCAAGGGCCTCACGTCTAGATCTAACAAAGTCTAGCTTCCAGAGGAAATCGATACCACCAAAGTCCGAAAAAGCAGGCCCACGTCGGGGGGCGGGGGGAAGGGGGAGAGGGTGTGAACACCAGCACGCGTTTGCTACCCACGCAACTCCCAAAGTAGAACTAGTGGAGCAAGGATGGAAGTGGAAGGCAAAAGGGGAGTAGAGAGGGGAAAGCCCCACCCACCTCAACCTCAGGCTACAAAGAAAGGCAGGATGGAAGCCCCGGGAGTTTAGAAAGGGGCGGGGCAGCCGATGGAGGCCGACTGCCGCCCAGACAGTTCGCTCTCCCCGTCTCCACCCACTGCCCCACCTCTCCCTCTCCCTCCTCCTGCGCAGCACGCAGGCCCACGTCCGCCCTATCCTCCTCCTCCTCTTCTACAGCAGCCAAAACCCTCTTCTGCAAAACAACCTCAAAGCCTCCCACGAGCGCCCTCTCCCTTCTACACCCCTCCAGCCCGATACAGCCATTTCTAGCTACCCACTAGCCGCCACTCGCCTGCGAGAACACCCCCGGTGCACCCACGCATTAGGTAGGACGCGCGTACGCACCAGAAATACACTCACGTACACGGGCGACAAAACAAAAACACACAAAAAACAAAACAAAACAAAACAAAGCATGGGCACGCTTCCGCACGCGCGCTGCACCCAAGCATCGGCTCCTTTGCAACCAGAAACCATGAACACCGACCGGGCCACCGGCCACAGACAACCTCGGAGTCAAGACTGGACGCGAGGGGTTGGTCGGGGTTGGAGGGTAGAGGGTTTATCCCTGGCACCTCCAGAGGCTGCAGAGCGGACTCCTCAAAGGGTCACGCACGCCTAGCATCGCGGGTGTTTTTGCATTAACTGTTCGCTCACCAGGACCCTGCGGGTAGAGGCAGAACGGCACTGGGGGATAGAGGCAGGACGGGTTTGGGTTGGGGAGGGGGCCGGACTCACTGGGATGTGCACCCGCAGCGATCGCCTCTTCTGGCCCGAATTCTTCTTGCCGCTGCTTCCCCCGGGGCTAGAAACATCTTTCTTCTTCTTGGTGTCCATGGCCGCACTTCCCATAACTTTAACGAGAAGTTAATTCCGGGTGACTTGTTCCTGGAATCCAGCAGCCAGCAGCCTTGTGCCCCCCGCTACCCCGCCCGCCCCCCGCCCCCCCGGCCCGCTTCTCTTGCAGCGGGAGGTTGGCTCCGTGGGTGCCTTTTTCTGACTTCGCTCCCCCTCCGCCCGGGGCCAAGTGGCTTCTTACTGGGGACTCCCGAAGGTGTCAGGGGAGTGGGAGGACGGGGCCGGTAATTCGCCGCCGCTGCTGTCACCCCGCGAGGTGGCGGCGATGAGGAGCCACCGTGGAGTTCAACTGTCCTCTTTCTCCCGCGACGGTCATCGGGAGCAAAGCACAAAGTCAAAGAAAATGCTGCCCCGCGTGGAGCTCTTCCACCAGATCGCACATGCCTACGGGCTCCTGCGGAGTGACAAAGTTTCCTCCCCTCTAGTAAAGTTAAATTTTCTGCACCCCGCCACCACCCCCACCACCCTGCACTCCAAAAGCAGATTCCAAGAGACAGGTGCCAAAAAAAAAAAAAAATCGTGGAAAGGCTCCTCCCAAGCGTTTATGCCTTAATTGGCAAATCTGGCGACCGCGAGACAGTTTGCAAATAAATACCAGCTCGGTGCCTGGAACTGGGTCCGTCCTCTTTTCTCAGGCAGGAGGGGGGGAGGAGGAGGAGGAGGTGCGAATGCAAATACTCGTTGCAATTGGGCTACCTCTTAGCTAGAAGCAGAAGGGTTCCGGCCGCGGGGACTCGAGGGCTACTCTCACGCTGCAGGAGAGAAGGGGGACCCAGGGCAATTGCTCAGTGCCAGCTAAGCGGGCTCTTTCCTCAATCCGCCTGCGACCAGTAACCCCAGGTAGCAGCAGCGAACTAAGAAAAGAATACGCGGGCGGCAGCAACCATGCACACAAACCCTGGGCTCTAGAGCAGAGGAGGGGGTGCGTGCAGCGGACCCAGGCAATCTGGCTGGAAGACTGCAGGCTGCGCTACAGGAAGTGCACCGCAGAAAATGCAACTTTCTCTCTGACAGCCTCCTTCCTCCAGGCACATCTCTGGAGCCTCCGAGCCCAAGGTCGTGGCTTTTCTGCCGGGCGCCACAGGGACGCAGCCCAGCCAGGGCGGCCGAGGGTCCCTCCCTGGCTGTGCTCTTGCTCCCGAGCAGGATGCAGAGTTGATTCTGGGCTTGCATCCTCTCTGTGCAAGCTGCAGACTACCGCACCCGGAGCTGTGAAGAAGAGACAATGATTTCTCCGCGCCCCCCCCCAACCCCTAACCCCCAGCTCCCAGCCCAACACCTTGCTAACAACAACAACAATACTAATAAATAACACAGGCCTCCCCCACACTCCCAGCTGCAGTCCTTCACCTTAGTTGCAGAGAAACCCAATTTTCTGGAATGCCCCCCTTCCCGAATACGTGATTTTCCTTTCCCCCAATCCACCCCACCACCCTCGCCTCCACTGCGGATATAATTGTGTACAGCGAGTCCTGGGGCTCTTGCGTTTTCTGCTTTTTTTGGTCCTCCAGGTCCATCAGCCGTTGCGCAATCCGTCCATCACGACGTGACCGTCCCGGCGCTGTGGTGTGGGCAAAGATGCGGAGCGGGTGGGCGCCCCTCAGCCGCGGGGTTGCCAGCAGACCCGGGGAAAAGGGTGGGGAGACTCCCAAAGAGGGTACGAGGGCTTTGGTTAGGCAGCTGCTGCTACGCGGAGTACGCGGAGGACCCGGAGGACCACGTGTTTGCAAAGCTAACACTGCGGCAACCACTGCCACCTCTTAGGCTGCAACGTGCCCCGCAGCTCCTTCCCTGGTTCTGAGAGGGAGGAGAAGTGTCAGTGTTTCGTACTTACCGAGACCATGGATGTGCTGGGTGCCCTCCTAAATAGACACAAGGACTGGAAGGAGGGAGGGAGGCGCATTGCTTCTGCAATTCATCCTGGCTCACTAGACAGTCCGAATCAAGCCCCCTCCCTCCCTTGTGGGAGGGGGCATGTTTACCCCCTCACCAAAGGTCGCCCCATCTTCTCGAAGGCTTTCGAAGCCAAGTCTGCAGTCTCTTCATTCAGCAATGTAAAGCTGACATTCAGAAATAAATAGTGTGCTCCTATACGGTATCCCTTTGGGTGACGATATTGCAGGCTTGGGAGGAGAAACATTTGGATTCATTCACAATGCTGTTACTTCCTCAACATAAGTAGCATTGGAGCCTAGCTTTCTGCTTGCGGTGATGTTGATGGTCCTCAAAGGCCATGCATTAGCAGTCCTCAAGCATTCTAAGAAGCAGGTACTGCTTTAGAAGACCCTTTCTGCTCCACATTCCTAATTCAGTTTAACAGATATTTATTAAGGACTGCCATGTGCCAGGTACTTGAAGATAAGCAGACAAATAAAAATTAAATAGCTCACGCATGATCCTTTGTTTAACAATGGACTTTTCTCCAATTATAAATAGTACCTCTAATTTGTAGGAGGAAATTGACTCTCAGAGAGGATAACTATATGTAGCTGTGAGTGTGTAAATACACTGGTCACACCGCAAGTGTCAGTCTGTATTACAGCCCACTCTATCACTGTTGTCCACAATGCTGTCTACTTAAAGATGAGAAAATGAAAAAGAAAGAAAAAAAACCAATCCTTCCTCTAGAGCTCATAACATAAAGGTCATGTATGTACATGAAGAACCATGATGCCACAGTAAAGTTAATTGGGACAAACGGGAGCATCCTATTTCTCTATGACCATAACTAAGGTTAAATAATCCCCTCTACAACACAGGGACCCTTCTTCTTTGGGGAAGAACACTGTCTAAATTAAGGGGCTTCTAGATGGCTCCGTGGTTAGAGCTCTGGACCTGGAGAAGGGAATCAGAGAAGGTTCTCTACAGGGGCGAGGTAGCCCCTGATTTTGGCTTTGATTGAAGAGAAAATGTATTCCAGGCACAGGGGATGAACTGAGAAGGGCTCAGAAGTGGGAGGTTAGGGAATAGCTAATAACCCAGTTGGCTAAAATATATGTGTATGAAGAGAAGTAGTGTAAAATCAGGTTGGAAAGGAGCCCAGTTAGGGAGGGCTTTAAATTCCAGGCTAAAGGGTTTATATTATATCCCATCGGCCACAGTTATCTACGGGATTTGAGCAAGAGAGTGACAGGAAGATTGGAGGCAGGGGCAGGGGACATCTATTTGAATGATGAAGAAGAGATTGTTGGCAGAGATATGAGGGAGGAAGCAAGAAATGATCAAGATCAAACATGGTCTAGAAAAGGAAACAGCTGGCCCCTCCCCTCACAACTCAGTAGAAACTGCTGTCTCCAAGGTTACCGGTGATTTCTTAATTGCCAGATTTGGTCTTTTCTTCATTCCCTTCATTCTTGACTTCTGCAATGTTTTACATTGTTGACCACTCTACCTGGGTAGTCTCTGTTCTGTAGCTTTTCTTGATGCTACCCCTTTCTCTGACCACTCCTGCTCAGTCACTCTTGCAAACTCATTATTTATATCGTGACTTTGGGGATCCAGGGCCTCCTCTCTTCACTCTTCACTCTATACCTGCTGATCTCATCAGCTGCCATAGATTTAATTGTTATCTCTACGCAGATAACTCAGATCTATATAGTCACTCACAGTCTTTTCTCTGAGCTCCATTACTTATTGCCTATTGGACATTTCAAACTGCACGTCCAAGAAACATTGCAAACTCAGGATCCAAAACTGAATTCTACCCCCAAACTCTTCCCTCTTCCAGATTTTCCCTATTTTGTTGAAGGTACCACCATTCTTCCAGTCTGCTGGTTCATAACCTTAACAGTATCATCAACTCACCTTCACCTCCCATAGCCATTTACCAAATCTTGCCATTTCTACCTCTCAAACATCTCATAAAACTCTTTTTCTTCATTTACACTGGTACCACTTGAGTTCAGGCCCTCCTCATCTTTTGGCTAGATTATTGCAACAACTTCCGAATCCCTCTCCTTGATGTAAATGTCTCATCACTCCAGTCCATCCTCCATTCTGCTGCCCAGGTGGTTTTCTTAACCACAGAGCTAATTTTGTCATGCCTCTTACTAGAGAAATTCCATTTGGTCCCCATTTCCTCTAGAATGAAATATAAATTCCCATTTAGCTTTTAAAACCCTGCACAACCTGTCCCAAATCTATCTTTCTAACCTAATTGGACATTATTCTCACTTCCCAAAGCACTGGTCTAACCATGATACCCCCATCTCCCATTCACTAAACTCCAGTGGCTACTCGTTGTTTACCTCCAGGATCAAATATTAAGTCTTCGTTTCATTTTTAAAGCCCTTCCCACCTTCCCAGCCTATCCAGGGTTGATATTGGAACAAAGAATTGGAAGAATTTGGCATCTGAGTGAATGTGTGGGATAAGGGTGGGAGGAGAATTAAAGATGACTCCTAGATCTTGACTCTCCGTAACTGGGAGGAAGGTGATTTTGACATCAACAGAAATAGGCAAGGTTTTTTTTTTTCTTTTGAGGGAATTGATGAGTTCACTTTGGGACATGTTGAGTTTGAGGTACTTGGGGAGCACCCAAAAAAAGATGCTGAACTGTAGTTAAGAGGTTAGATGAGGGCCGTGTAGATTTGAGAGCCTTGTGTATAGAGGTGATACTTGAAGATCAAAAAGCTGAGAGGACAGAGACAGGGGAGGTTAAGTGTATAGTCTTGGAAGACACGCATATTCAGGGCTCAGAAGAAGGATAATAAACCAGAGGAAGAAAGACAGGAAAATTAGGACAGAGCAGACTCACAGAAGCCAAGGGTGGGACACAGTATTGAAGAACCATTGGTCAAGGGTGTGAAATATTAAAGAAAGATCTCGGAGAATGAAGTATTAAGGGAAAAAAAGCTCATTGTGACAATTAAGAGGTTGCCCTGGGGTGGGGGGAACAGTTTTAGTACAATGTGGGATAGAAACTAGAAAGTAAGGTATTAAAGTATGGTAAGTGGTAGAGGAGACTGTGTATACTCTAGAAATTTGGCTGTAAAGGGGAGGAGAGATAGGGATAGCTTGAAGGAATCATCTGAATGCTTTTATAACAGCTTCCTTTGGTTTGGCCCTGGGGCATAGTGGGTTAACTTCCCACCCACACAACCAATTTGGAAAGTTGTTCAGTAGTGTCTGACTCTTGGTGACCCCAATGGATCATACCCTCTGTAGGTTTTTTTCTTGGCAAAGATACTGGGGGTAATTTGTTATTTCCTTCTCCAGTGGATTAAGGCAAACACAGGTTAAGTGACTTGCCCTGAGTCACACAGGTAGTAAATATCTGAGTCTGAATTTGAACTCAGGTCCTCCTGATTCCAGGCCCAGCACTCTATCCACTGAGCCATTTAGCTGCCCTTTAATTTGGGAAATGTTGTTGTTGTCTTTTTTTTTTTTCTGGTCATGTCTGACTC